CAGCCATAATAGGAGGCCTGGTAGGAGAGAATCAATCTAAAAGAGGACAAGTAGATATGGTGCATCCCACCGGTGCTCTTGTGTCTTCCTACTAGCTGGGGTTTAAGGACAAGGCAGCCTGGGTCAAGGCAGAGCAGGGAACTCCTTCCACATGAGCAGGCTCTCAGGGAGAGTAAAAGGGGTGTCACTACTGGAAAGCATTGGGTTGGGGCTGGCTGGGGACTGGGGATGCTGAGAAGGGCAGGGAGAAGGACCTGGCGCAGGGACCCCAAGGCATGCAGCAACCTGGGAAAACACTGAAAGCTTCTGCATGGCAGGTAAACCCAAAGAAAAGGACTCACCCTACAAGCCACAGCAGGCAAGTGGACGGGGCTTATTTACAACCTCCTTTTGTTATTTCTTTTTGATCTGCTGTAAGAATATTGTAGTTCTAATTAGGTGTTAAACCTGGTGTTTCGGAACCCTGTTGAGGGATGCTTGCTCTGAAGCTGAGCTATGCAATCCTTCAAGCTTGAAGCTGATCCTTCAAGCTGGACCCAGCTTGGGGCCCGTTTCAGATAGTGTGGTGCGGCTCTCGTGCCCCTGCAGCAAGAGCTGCAGCAGCTGGGTCCCTCATCCTCCTGCGCATCGCCCTGTGCATGGGCTCCCCTGCCCTGGGTTTGTGCAGCCGCTGCTGCCATAGACCTCAGTCTCCAAGCGCCAATGTGGTACTTGGCGTGAGTGGTACTTTCCACAGGTAGTTATTTTTAATGGGTGGGTTCGGTGCCTTGTGCCCTTATCTTGCCTCCCCAAGCAACTCCAGGCTTTTCCATCCCTCTGGGTTCCTCTGTGCTCAGACTGCTGGCTCAGCACCATCTGCTGGTGACATGGGGGGCCCTGATAGCTGGGGCAGGGCCCCACCAGCTCCAGGTTTTCCTCTTGTGGCTTCTGTGTCACGGCAGGTTTAATTATAACCCCTTCCGTCACACTCTCCCAGCTTATCTCACATGCTCCTGTGCGCTTGCTTCCTCCTTGCTGGCAGCATCTCTGCTGAGTACCAGCCGCCATCACTCCTGCAGGTGAGCAAAATCGGCTTTAGGACCTTGGGATGGGGAGACAAGGGCCCCAACGCTGGCCAGAGACCCCGGGGTCAGCATGGGGCTGGAAAGCAGGACCCCCTTGTGGGCTCACCAGTGTGGGGTGCAGCCCTTGCTTGCCACTAGAAACCAGGTCCCAGCTTTTGGGTAGCAGAGGTGCTGCTGGAGGAAGAGGAAGGACTGATGCGTGGGGTAGGGGACCTTGCGGGGACGGCAGTCAGAGCTAACCTGGCTGTCTCCTCCAGCAGGTGACACAGGAGTGGGGACAGCCGAACTGCCACCATGGTTGCCCTCTCACTGAAGATCAGCATTGGCAATGTGGTGAAGACAGTGCAGTTTGAGCCCTCCACCATGGTGTACGATGCCTGCTGGATGATCCACGAACGGGTGCCTGAGGCCCAGATGGGACAGCATAAGTTTCCGGTGGGGCTGCCTGCTGTGCTGCCATGTTGGGGCCACCCCAGCTTGGCTCCTGGCATTTCACTGGCTTCCCTTTCCTCTCTTGTCCCAGTGCCTGTCTGGGTTTTCCCAGCAGTGGGGGGAGCAAGGTCCAAGTCCTTCTGCCCAGTTGAGGTGAGGGGATGAGCTCCTCAGGCTCCCTCCTTGACAACCCAGAAAAAATTTGTGGGCTTGAAAGATAGGAAAACACATTTGGAAGTGAAATACTCATTGGGCTCTTTGAGCCTCCTGCCCTTTCTGTCTCTGCTCCTGTCTCCTACTTGCATTCATCACCACTAGCCAGGACTAGGTAGGTTTAAACAGTCACAGGGGTCATAGTGAGCATTAATAAACCATGTAAGTTAATTTTTCCTTCCTTGGGGAATATATAGTCCTCTGTCAGGTCTGTTTCCCCTGGCAGCTCTCTGCCAGACTCTGTGCTGGTGCTCTGTTACCTTGCTAAGCTTTTTCAGTTCTAATATCTCCCTGCTGCCACAAGGCTCAAAAGTAAGCTTATGGCACATGAACTCATGATACGATTCACACCCACACAGATGCGGCCTGTCCCCAGCATGGATGGGGTGGGGCTGGAGTGCTGGGACATTGTCTTGGGGGCTCTTCTGGGTCCCTGCCATCTCTGAAAGTGGCTCTGCTGTGGAGGAGAGCCGTGCATCGGGCAGGCAGTGAACAGGAGGTCAGGAGTTGTGGGAAGAGGAGGGGGAGCGCAGTGACATCTGAGAGCTGTGAATTCCTCATGGATGAAAGGAAATGCCTTCTTGTGCAGTTCCCAGCTGGCCTGTGGGATCATGGCTTTTGGTTTTGGAGAGGGACTGAATGTTTATGTGGAAGTGGGACTGTAATGGTGTTGGAAAGAGCATTGCATTTCCTGCTTCTGGGTGTGAGCCAGCCTGCTTATACAAAAAAAAAAAAAAAGAGGCAAGGGGAAAGCCTTAAAAGGAACTGCTTATTCCCAAGTTCCTTTTCAGTTGCTCACAGCTTTTCTTTTCCTATCAGTTCCTTGCAGCTTTTGTTTCTCTTTGCTCTCCTTACCCGATGGCTTGGGGGTCCCTTTTTGAGCTGCCCTGTTTTTTTGTGACCTTTGGACTGGGGGAGCTTCAGTGTAGGTTTCCAGCCCTGCTCTTGCTCTGTCTCAGGAAGCACCTCTCCCTGCCCAAGCTATGGATCTGGGGCAAGCTGCTCACTTTTCAGCGCTTTAGAATTATCCTTTTAGAATTTACTTTGAAAATAGCTTGCTTTTTTTTTTTTAAATTTAAAAATAGAAAGGCAAACCTCAGTGATTTTTCTGCTCCCTGTTTAGTTGGATCCTAACAGCAGTGTTAGCCAGGCAGGAGCAGGGTGCCTCAGGAATTTGTCCCTCCCCTGCAGAGAGCTGCCAGGGAGATGACTCATTATAAACTTAGCAGCCAGCCAAGACAGCCTTTGGCATGGGGTTGTTGGAAAGGTGGAGAAGGACCTTTTCCAGAGCAAAGCCAGGTGTGGTCTTGGCCTCTTGCAGCAGGAAGATAGGGCCATCCCCGTGGGTCCAAGCCAGGGTGACACTGCCTGGGCATCAGCAGCAGCACTCTCACTGAGTACCCCAACCCCAAGGGAGCAGGATTTGGTGAACAGCACTTCTATACTTTCTCACCACTTGAGACCTTGTAAGCTTCGATCCCATCCTCCTTCAGCCTCCTCCCCAAACGGAGGTGTCCCAGCTCCTTTAGTCCCTCGTTCCAAGGCTCCATCGTTTAAGTTGCCCCTCTCTGTATCTTTTTAAGTTCCACTGTGTCCTTCTGGGGAAGTGCAGACCACACCACCACAGAGCACTGAAAGTGTGGATGTGCCTAGGTTTTATAGACCAGTTCCCAGCATCCCTCCTGGTGGTGCCCAGCATTTTACTACCTTGCTTTGGCCACTGCTACATGTTGCACTAAAGATTTGAGAGAGCTGTCAACCATGACTCCAAGCTCTTCCTTCAGTTGTGGTCCGTTCCAAGTTGGGCACTGCATAAGCATGCTTCAGATGATTTTTTCCATAGGTAACTATATGGTAAAACATGTACCTTGAAGCTCGCTTGCCAGCTTTTTGCTGGGCTCCAGCATGCACAGTACTGCTGTGCTTCGTGTGCTCCGCTGCAGGCACATCCCTGGGCGCAGGCTGGCATCTGCTCAGGATTACTCTGTCAGAGACTTTACCTGTTTTTCAGCCAATGATTTTGGGCTGTTCCTCTTGGATGAAGACACAAAGAAAGGGATCTGGCTGGAGACTGGGAAGACTCTGGAATACTACATGCTTCGCAATGGAGTAAGCATCCATCCCACATCCTTCCAGCTGGTACCCACCTCAGCTCTGTGGTCAGATGTGCCCATGGTGGGGAAGTGCTCTGGTTCCCTGCCCTACTGCCTTGCATTGTGCCTGGATGTATCCCATGACCCCCCCCCCT